AAAAATAAATACAACAAAATTATTTATTAGAAAGAAAAAGTCAGAAACAAAAGTAGATAGTTCTCCTATTTCTTCTAATTCTTTTGATTCTTCTCTTTACACTTCATCTGAGTCTAAATCTATACAATCCAACCTGCTACTTCTGTGTTCTAAGATCTCAGAACATTTGGAATGCTACCTAGCCCTGTTTACTACTTAGTAGTTTGTCTATAGTATTAAGCAGGGATAGTCTCAGCTGAGTTTACAGCTGAGAACATGGGTCTGTCCTTGTTGAAAGAGAGAGGTTAATAAGGAAATGTTAGTACATATACTTACTCTCTTAGACAACAAGGCTGTGTAAGCTGTACATTCCCTTCAGAACAAGTAGTAGTTTATCTGAGGACATTCTGAGCACTAGCTCTAGGTCCCTGTCCTCTTGGCTCCCTTCTCAGGATCCCCCCAGATCTGAACAATAGCTCTAGTAGACAGTAGATACACTAGTTTGTGTATTAATAAGGCCTTTGTGTAGGAACACTACCTCCCTACTCAATGTGTTCCACTTCTGATCCTAGTATATAATATGGACAGAACCCTGAACTAGAATGGTCAGATTACTGAGTTTGTCCAACTATGGATGACCATTCAGGATCATAAGGAAAGTATTAAGTTCAGAGTCACCAACCTCAGAAAGACAGACATCTTTATTGGATTCAAATGGTTCAAGGCTCACAACCCTACTATTAACTAGTTAGAGCAGACACTTGTGTTCAATCAGTGTCCCAAGTCTTACAGCTACCTTGTACTACTGTTCTGAGTAGATACAGACACTTCTAATGTTACTGACAGTTCTGATAAAGGTGACCAGTTGTTCTTCTTTAACTAGGATAGATATGTGGATACATATTCTAGTCAAGGCAGAACAGAGTCAATCTGAAGAATGTCTGAGACAGAACCAGTCCAGAACCCTCTCAGAACAACTCTACTCTAGAATGTATATAGACCCAGCCTGCTGGATTTTGTCTGAGAGTTCCCTAAAGTCTTTAGTAAAGAGGAATTCAACCAGCTTCCTAAACACTGTCTCTAGAACTATGTAATTGAATTGACTAAGGGTTTCTAACCTAAGGATTGTAAGGTCTACCTACTCAACAGAGACAAGCAGGAGGTGCTTGACAAGTTCCTTCAGGAAAATCTTTAGAACAGCTAGATCCAACCCTTAAAGTCCTCTATAGCCTCCCCCTTCTTCTTTGTTAAAAAGAAAGATAGGAAGCTCTACCTAGTCCAGGATTATTGTTGTCTTAATAAGGGTACTGTTAAAAACAAGTACCTACTCCCCCTGATTCAGGAGCTCATTAATAAGATGCATACATCTAGGGTTTTCACTAAGTTGGACATTTGATAGGGATATAATAATATTTGGATCTGAGACAGAGATGAGTAGAAGACTGTATTCTGAACCAATTGTAGATTGTATGAACCAACTGTAATGTTCTTCAGACTAACCAACTTGCTTACAATGTTCCAGTCATTCATGAATCACATCCTTACAGATCTGATTGACTTAGAGCATGTTAGTGTGTATCTGGATAACATTCTGATCTTCACCCAAACAGTTGAGTACTATTACTGACTGATCTGAGCAGTTCTACAATAGCTCTAAGATAATAAACTGTTCCTCTAAGAAGCAAAGTACTCTTTTGTACAGGAGTCAGTAGATTATCTGGGCTTTGTGATTGGTGGAGGAGAGGTCTGTATGGATCTGGCAAAGGTAACTGTAGTTCAGAACTGGCTACAACCTTAGAACCTGAAACAGGTCTAAGCATTCTTTAGGTTTGTAAACTACTACTAATACTTCATTCAAGGCTTTAGTACCATTACCTAGCCCCTACACAATCTTACTAGCAAAGATGTTCCTTAGTAATAGGAGGATTAGCAGTAGTCTACATTTGAGTCCCTAAAGCAGGCTATTACTAGCAAGCCTGTATTAGCAGTTCTGACAGTTGTAGACAAGTTCTGAGTTGAAGCCAACTCTTCCAACTTTGCAAATGGAGCAGTACTGTCCTAGTTCATTGACAGAAAGTAGTGTTTAATAGTGTTCTGATTAGAATCCCTCTCTGTAACAGAACAGAACTACCCTATCTATAACAAGGAACTCCTTACAATTGTCTGTTCCCTAGAGGAGTAGTGTTAATATCTTCTCAGTACTATACAGAAGTTTAAGATTTGGAGTGATCACCTTAATCTCTAATACTTCCAGACACCTTAGAAGCTCAACTGTCACCAAGCCTGCTAGATGTTAGAACTGTAGGACTATGACTTTATACTGACTCACAAACCCAGAACACAAATGACAAAAGCTGATTTACTCTTAAGACAAGTAGGTTATGAAAGAGGGGAGAATGATAATAAAAATCTCATTCTCCTAGACAATTCCTGTTTTGTGTCTAAGACAATCTGAGAGATCTGACTCAAATCTGAGGATGTTAACTTTGTCACCT